GCGCAAACAGGATCATATGGAAAGGATGCGATCACCTAGTACATCACTGTGCTGAGCTCAACAGGAATTTGTTGGAATAGGAGTAGGTCTAACAGTTTAGCAAATGCATTGTCTTGTACTCTGTAAAAAAACCAGCAGGAGGATAACCAGAGAGGATATCTGGTTTTCCAGCATTCAAAGTCTCAGAGAAAGCTAGTGTCAAGAATATACAGATCTGAAATATAAGATATGCAGGGCTGAATTTAGAGACAAAGAGAATTACAGAGTGTTCACTGAGAAAGTGAACAAACTCCTTGAACAGGTATCCAGCTCAAGAGGACAAAGAGCTTTCAATTCTTTTTTACTGGATATCATATATAAGTTGTTTTAAAAGTTCTAGTTTAATTTTGTGTTCACTACGCCTCTGTTAGAACACTTGAGCTTGAAGTATGTTTGCATTGCTCTTTGAGAAATAATTCTCCACAGCAAGTTTTAGATGTCTATTAGATTTCAAAATATCTGGCACAGAAAATATGTACCAAGGAGGGGTGTATTTTGGACTGAAAATTTATATATGGAAAGACAGGATGGCAGTAAAGCTCAATGTTAAATTTAACAGGTGCTTTAACATTTAGCAATGAAATTAAGATTTGAATACACTGGGGTAAGATTATTCTCTTAACATATTTTGTCATGTTTCTATAAATTCAAACTTACTGAGATTGCTGTGGAAACTCACCTAAGGATTTAAATACCAGAACATTCACCTATCTTTAGGAGACAGTAAGTAAAGTGCTCTGAAAGCCAGGCTTAAGATGCACTGCTAGGCTATTCTTTTAAGTGTACAGCGTGTGCATGCAATTAGGACTGGAGGGTGGTTACACCTTACATGCCACACATAAAAATACGTATTTGTTTCTTTTTTTCACTTGGGCCTCTTCAAAAAACTCTTCCCAAGAGTACAACTGTATAAAGCTATAGAGGAATTCAGCTGCTTAATATAAACAGCCGAGTTAGTAGCTACATTCTTCAGTATCACACTAGGTGATTCTCAGTTGAGTTAAACAATTATTCCCTCTTTTTAGAAAGACTGGGCTATGTCTTTATAAAGGTATCAAAAATTATACTGCCCTTCAGTAAATAGGTACCTGCAATCTGCAGAAAGCAATCATGATCCAGATAGTATTTATCACTGATCCAGCTAAAATGAACACTGTAAAACAAGCCTCTTACCCTCGTTCTCTGCGTAACTCTGGACGACAAAGCAGACTGCATTCATTAGTGCAAGGCTCTTAGGAGCAACAAGGAAGCAAAGAGCCCAAGCTTGCAATTCCAGCAAAGTTGTTCTGTGTTATAACAAGCATGAAGGTACTGTTTCCTTTGTGATTATCCACATAATATGATACATAGAAATCTACTTAGCTCACTATGACATTCTGTATTCATAAAAGTTTAAACTATATAGAGACACTTTCTTAAAATGTTCTTCCACTGAAAAAAAATCCTAGTGAAAAGTTACCTTTATTTAGCAAAGGGATAGCAACAAAAATATGTAAGGATTTCCCTAGCAGGAGCTTTGTCTAAGTTTCTCTGCACATTTACAGCGCTATATAAATCTAAATACAAGGTTACACTCTCTAGTCAAAGCCAAAGATTTGCCTTTTCAGAATTTATGAAGAAAAGGAACATAAATGAAGTATTTGTAATTTCATTTGATGACCTTTAGATCCTGTTCCAGATCTGAAATTACTCTCTGATACCTGTTAACACACACGCCACATTACACTGCTGCCGCCGTATCCATTTACTTCGCTATTAGCCTCGACACAGACAAGCAATTTGCATGGCCAGTCACAGGCTCTCTGGTCTGCTATCTTATCTGAACAGTGATTAAATTAAATAAGAGCTATGGGGAGGGGGAAGTGTTCAAACTTTTTTTATGCCCCTTTTGGAGACCATAATTGAATTTCTAGTACCTGAATGTTTATTTAAAGTACTTTTCCAATATAAGCATTTTTTCCTACCTCTAGCACCCTAAATTTTAATATTCTCAGATCCCATTCCACTTCAGCATAAATCCTTCCATCCAGGACTGTCATTGTAGACATATACACTATCAAAAACCAGAAAACGTCTATATGTATCTCTATCTTCCTATATACATGCATCTCTTAATTTTTAGTGTTTTCAAAGCTTAAACCACTGACAGTCCTGAGAGGCAGGTTCAGATCTCATAAACTGAAGCGCTCCAAAACAACTCTATCAGATAACCTCAGGCATGATGGTGGTTGCCAACAGACATTTTTTGAAACAGGAAAGCATAATACAGATAAGGGAAAGGAAGGTGATTAATAACTGAGCAATTCTCATCTTCAATATTGTTTTTTTCGCAGGTAGACTTTACTGATTTTTGCACTGTAAAAGAGAGGGGGGAAAATAATACATAAGTGACTGTCTAAACTCCAAGTTAGCAGCAGACTCATGATGAAAAGCTTTGCTGCTCCTAACTTGCAGCTTCATGCTTAAATACTGAGACATGACTACAGAGTAAATTGCTTCCTCGTGGGATTATTCTAGGAGCAAAGGAATCTCTACCTGTAACCAGGAAGAACATCAAACCCTTTGGGTCAAATCCCCAAATCCAGAATCTTCTTGCAGGCTTTCAGGGCCAATATTGAGTATTTCTGAGAGGTTGGTTTCCTGGCTGCTATTCATAACCAGGGACCTGGGCTAAAGGCCGTGATTATTACTGATTTCAATACCTACCGAAACCAAAAGAAACTCACATAGGTTTCTAAGGAACTGAAACTATGCAAATATGTTTTCCAAGTATAAAAACCAAATTGCTACTTACATCTTACATGCAGATTGCTAAATAGCATCCCATTTATATGAAGCATGTGACCGCTTTCACTTGAAGACACAGATCGGTTTGATAATTCCATGGTAATTCATATATTGATCTTTAAGCTTAACAATTCAAACCTACTGCAAAGTAAAAACTAATTCCCATTTTACTATCAAATATACTTTTCAAAACTCCTGGTGCACACAGAAAACTTACAGCTACAGATTTCTACGTTAAGCACTTAGTATGATGTTCAAATAAACAAAGCAGAAATTCCCGTTAAGTCCTACAACCAAGGAAGGCACTGTCACCAACCACAAGAGGTAATTTCAGGAATACTTCCACTAAAGGAATTCTCTAAGAAGCCTGTAAGTTTTCCTTCTAGTAAATACACATTGCAATAGGCTCGGAAACAAGATTCTTCCCCGAAGCGCCACAGCGCGAGATCCCAACAATTCCTGTACACAGTCTGATCTAATTGGGAACTCCAAAATCCCAGCTTGCACTTTATCCATTGAATCTCTCCTACACCATTTCATTAAAGCGATTATTCATAAATACCATGGAAGACAGTGTTTGGATATCTATAATAAGGGCAGCAGAGTCTGTTTATAGCTGTTTGTAAACATGTAATAACTTTGCTCAGATGCACAAAGCTGAAGTGTTTTTGTCAGCACTAGCCCTCCCTGCTAGCCCAGTTCTTCTTCCATCAGCGCAAAGCTGGGAGAGTTCCAACACTGTTACATTGCCTGCAAATTTAAGCTATTTTGGCTGTAGCAGGATTTACTTTTCACTTCACATTAAACCCTTAAAAGACATGGAATCTGCAAAGCAAGTTACAGTACCAGTTTCCAACTTTCTCAATGAGTCTTTAGACATTGAGGCAACACGGAAGCATCCTAAGCCTTCACACTCACTGATGTGTCCTGAGACTGAAATATTGCAAGTCTAGATATTATATTGTCTACTAATAGTGCTACCATATAGAGAGGCTCCCAAAAAGGAAACCAGAAAGAGATGTATTTGAATGAGAAAGGGGAGAGAAATAAAAATAACATCTCTTAGTTACTTGTATTTCTTAATATCAGCTTCGACCTTTCCAAAAACTCCCTTTAGATTTCAGACAACAGCAAAAATAGCAACACAAATCATGAAGACAAAAATGAAATTCCAAATGCTTGTGTCAGCTACTGCCAGCAGATCTCAGCTGATTCACCCCCAGCCCACACTAGATTTCAGTTTCTTTACAGAGTATGTAAATTGCTTAATTCTCATAAAAAAGCATCCAAATAAAAGGAACTGTAGGGCAAAAAAAGGATATATGAAATACCTCTGTAGGGCAAAGATCAGCCTAATCGGATAATTTATCTGGCCACCTTAACATGTTTGTATTAGCAAACTCCTAATCGGTAATTCCCAAATGCTTTACTCAGTTCTGTAATTATGAAACACTATTATAGCATTCTATGCTGAATGAGAGAAAGCTTCCAGTATATAGTACACCAAAACCCAATAATCAAAAGTGACCAGAATATTAGGAGCCTAATACTCTCTTTAAATACCGGAAGTCGCGATGAGTTAAAATCTCTTTCATATTTCAAAGGCATCCACAAAAATCAAATCAAAGCTACGCAGCACAGGAAACCCCTTCCAGTTGCACCAGTGAACTAAGCCATGTCCTTGTCTGGTTTAGGAGAGGGAAGGAGAGAAGAATATGGGAGAACACAAAGCAGCAAAAGCTCTTTTCTGCCCTAGTTGTAGTGCCAGATGAAAAAAAGCCAGCAACTGCAGAGTGCTTGCACAGCAATTAAAACAAGAAAAAAAGCAAAAGACACTAAAGACCCCTAAACAAACAACAAAACAGAGCCCCAGAGCCCAAACATCTTTCTTAAGTGCTAAGACCATTCACACAATGAGATTTCACAGTTCACTTTTTTAAAGGAATGCTTCCTGTAGCTATTTAAACAAAACTAATTTAAATGAAATATACTTAACATTAGCATCTTTGCCGAGCAAGAGATTCCCAGTATCACAATCCCTTCACCTTCCCAGAAATTTCCTACTGCATTTAAATAGCATCAAGGGGCAGAGAGGAAGCATTTTTTTCTGGGGCTAAATTCAAAGGCTTTTAGAGGACCTTGTGTCCTGTGATTAACTTCTCTTACATACATACTTGTCACTTCTTGTAAGAAATCCAGACAGGGTCGGCTACTTCCAGAAATACTTATTGAAACAGCCAGTGGGGTCTGTCCTTCATAGTTCCTTGTGTTAGTGTCTGCTCCGTAATTATACAACATTTGTGCACAAAGCACATCATCTCTAAGAGCAGACAAGTGTAAGGGTGTCTGTCCATCTTCCAAGCGACCCAAGTTTGTATCCGCCCCTCTCTGAAGGAACATTCGGCAGTAAGAGTGATTGCTTTTGATCACAGCGTATCGTAACAGGAAACCATTTTGAATGTCGATGTTGGCATTGTGATCCAGAAGGATTTTCACACAGCTTGACCTCTCTCGGATAATGGCCAGCTGAAGTGGTGTAGTACCTTTATCACTGAGCGGATCAACCTCGGCCTTGAACTCCAACAGGAGCCTCACAAATGAGTCTCTGCCATAGTGGGCTGCTACATGGAGGGGAGTCCAACCATCGTTGCTCTTTGCATTAATAATGTCACTTCTATATTCAGATTCCAACATCAAGCGTGCAATCCTCGCTCGGCCATGCATGGCTGCATAATGCAGAGCAGTGAAGCCTCCAATTAAGTCCTTAACTGTGGGATCAGCTGAAGTTAAAATAAAATTAAAAAATAATTAGAAGGCATTACAGTAATCCAGTGCTGCAAGAAAAGAAATAATCAAAGGGTTGAGTGTTAAGTCTTTTCAGGCATAGCATGACAGGATTATTTTGTACTTCAAACTAATGCTTGCTTTCAGGAACATGCTATTTTTAAGGAAAATTTAAATTATATTTAAGAAAGTTGCACCAAAAAAAAAATCCTTTTTCTTTTATATACATATGTTTCCATTTGACAGATACTTCTCTGCATCTTCCTAGCACTCTTAGGCTAATTACTCAAATCTCCGTCCATCCAGTTTTCCTCCAGCTCTACAATATTACATTTCTTTCTTAACATTCAACTTTGTTTTATTTTCCCTTGTGTTGCTTCTTGGTCTTAAAAAGAAGCATGTGTAGAAACATCTGCTGTCCCAAACTGCGGATGTTTTGTGGTCTGGCAGCATTGTATTGTTTTTAGGGTGTAATACTGCATTAGGTAAAATGTGGTCTGCAGGATTTCCAAAGCATGTAAGATATATGTTATTCTAGATTGTCTCGATAAAGTCTGTTTTTACAGATGATGAATCTGTTCTGAATTTATAGTTCTACAAAAATTTCAGATTTTACAAGAATGTAAGCAAATCACGGATGGAAAGAGTCAGGGAAAAAACATCACTGCAGAACACAAGTGATTACACAGAGACTGTTACCCCCCCAGCACAAAAACTCAGTCTCATTTATGAATTTTTAAATTAAAATAATCAAATCAATTTACTTCATTTCCTCAGGACACCAAACCTTGTAAAGCAAGTGCCTATTTCATGTACCAAATTAATTACCGAAGAAAAGATGCCTGCCTCATCACCTCACCTAGAGAACAGGCCAGGCTCTGAGGTTTCTCCTTCCACCATATGCTGCCTGTTGGATGCTAAAACGTACAAACTACTGCATGGAAGTTTGAGGCACTTTCCTAAGTTTCCCAGCTGGTAAAAAGAGAGATAGTGCATGCATAAGATACTAGTCTTAAGTTGACATGTTCTCAACGTTCCTGTGTATCAATTGAAACAGCTGCTGGGGTATGTCTGTCCTTCACAGTTACCTGCATACAAAGCACACCGTCTGTAAGAGCAGACAATTGTAAGGGTGTCTGCCCACCTTCCATAAGCTTGACAGCCCCATCATTGCATCCTGGCACACAGAACTCTCTCTCATTTCCTCACCTATACATACCATGTTTAGAAGGAAAGCAGCAGTCTTGGGAGGATGGAGAGAAGAGTACCACATTGTGAGCACACATTTAAAACAAACTCAGATGAAGGTTACAAACACCCAGTGCTCACAAACACTGCTTAAGAGGAGCTCTTGCTCTCCTGTACCACGTAAAAAAGGGCAGTATTCTTCTCAGCTGCCACCATACTCAAACAGGAGGGGGAAGAGGGTGGGAGACACCAGTCTTCACCTCAAAATTCAGACCTGCTATAAGTTAAGTTCAGAATACAATGCATATTGCAAACTAGTTTAGTCTGAACACATCTGAACCCACAAAGGTGCTAACATAAAACAACAGGAATAGGCTTCTCAGTATGGACCTACTGTGACCATATCCAGATAACACACCAAGACAGACATCATATCAAAATAAAAGGACTGGCAAGAGTACAGAATACAGCTGCAAAGATAATCCAGCAACTTTAAGGGTGTTTTTTTTTTAATGTAAAGACTGAGGTGAAGAAGACAAACAGAAATCCAACGTACAAGCTAATGCAGCTTGACTATGTGGAGAAATAAAACATGAGAACTGCCTCTAGTGTATAGAACAGGAACCTAGAAATAACAACAAAAATGCTAAGGGAACTTTAGAAGCGACAGCCTTCCTCATCTTCTATAAAAAGCAGAAGTTTCAGCACCCTGTAAAGTTACCTGAGTTAAAGTAATGGAGGAAGCATCCACAGGTCGGCAGGAAAATGAAGTCAGTGACTGAATAGGTGGTTCCTAACCTGCACTCTGATGATGTCCAAAATTTAGCAGAGAATCAGTACAACCCACCAAGTTACTAAAGACAGATAATCTTTCAAAGTGGCGTTTGCTGCTCCCAGGATCTCTTTCTTCGCATTGCTCAGACTATTCTACATTATCTCCCGACAGCTGATAAAGTAAGGAGCATAAGCACGCAAAGGTATGATACATTTGGAGAGGCAGAATTAAGGAGAAAGATGGACATACTGGAAAAGAGACATTGCTTTTTACCATTAAAGTGAACCAAAAAACCCCCAACCCTAAGTCATGCAAGAGTAGTGTCTCAACAGGAATAGGAAAATAAGTCTCTGGGCAAGGAACACAAAAAACTAACCATCCAAAGTGAACCCAACAGTAAAACCTCACGATAAATATACTGTAATTCCCGTTAAGATGACAGGTTTTTAGGGAGCTAATAATACCAGTCTCCCTCTTGATTAGGGAAACAACTTTAATCGAGCAAAAAGTCTTGCTGTTCAGTCAATGTTTTGCTGCCATCTCCCGGAGAACTTTTGAACTTCACAAGGGTTATTAGAACTTGGACCTGAATTAACGTTGCATACGTGTTAGTAAAATACATGCTACAGAGGTGATGTTGCCTTAAGAACTTTAGTTGTTGTCAGGGATTTTGTTTTCTAAAAGGCTTTGGCACTGGTATCGTGGTGTGAAGTACCTTTCTCCCCCTGGAACACACCGTAGAAATAAACTGGGAATGATTCTCAGCTTATATTTCAGAATCCGCAGGGGTATAAAAAAGTTCCTGGTACAAGCATATTTAACTAGAAAGGGATGAAGAGAGCACTTGCCAACATTTCTTTATCTTGCCTCCATCCCTATTTCTTTTCAAGTTTCCCATTAATTTGGGGAAAGCAGAATCTAGAAACATAAATAACTGCATTTGGTAATTTTTAATGTTCTTAAATATAAGGCATAATACAATGACATCGTATTAGGCCTTAAGCCCAGAAGGTACTCAGAAGCACGCAGCTGCTGGCTCACTTCCCTCCTTCTTCCCCCCACCCTGCTCCTGGAGGGATGGGGAGGGGAATCAGAAGAATGTAATTCCCACAGGTTGCGATAAGAGCAGTCCAGTAATTAAAGTATAACACAAATCACTACTGCTATCACCAATAATAATAATAATGATAAGGGAAAAAACAAGGGAAGAGAATACAACCGCTCACCACCCACCAACCGATACCCAGCCCGACCTGAGCAGTGATCTAGCCCTTCTGGGTAACTGCCCAGTTTATACAGTGGGCATGACGTGCTGTGGTATGGAATACCTCTTTGGCTAGTTCAGGTCAGGTGTCCTGTCTCTGCTTCCTCCCACTTCCCCTCCTCCCTGGCAGGGCATGAGACTCACAAAGTGCTTGGTCAGAGTAAACATTACTGAGCAACAACTAAAAACATCAGTGTTATCAGTGTTGTTCTCAGGCTGAGAGTCACTGCACCAGCTACTAAGGAGAAAAATGACTGCTGCTGCTTAACCCAGGACAGGCATAAACCTTGAACTGCTTATCAAGGGTACCAAGTAACTGCTCAAGCCCACCTGAGATTGAAAATTTGCAACACTGATATCCCAATTACATTATTTCATGTTAACGTCTAGCACCTAAGCTACTCATTTAAACTCTGCTGTTAATGAAACTCTTTTCTAATACCATAGCCTAAAGGATATATACATTCTTAAACAAGAGCCTAATATTTTGGAGTTTAAACTTACAGCTCAATGGGACAGTTTCCTTACTTACTTGATGCCTTCTTTAGATCACTATCACTGCATTATCTGGGAAGTCAAGAAAGCAATGCTTCTGGCTTCATAAAGTACTTCTATTATTTCAAGCTTACTTCTCCCAACTAGGGCTTAATTCTGATCACAAGACTTAGAAACATGACTACTTACAGCTTCTGGTTTGAATTTTCTAGGACAACATTGATACAAAGACCTCCAGGAAAGCACTGCTGTTCAGACACACACACTTTATGAGCTGATTTAGGGGGATGAACATTTGGCATTCTCTAGTTTCTCCTGGATTCTGCACGACCTTCCTAAGGTTTAGATATCTCGCAGCCAAGACTAAAAACAAACAAACATGTCTGTTTGGCTACTCCTGTTACTCTTCAATTTCTAGGAGCTTTAGTGAATCATTTCTTCACTTTAATATGAGTAAACAGAGTTAATACAAGTCAAGTAACCAGCTTAATATGAGTAATTGTCCTGCTTCATTAGTATTGAGAAGACACTGCCAAGGGACAGCTAACTACACACTTTCAAGACTTTAGCTCTTTGTAATGTTAACAGTGGTGATTGGTTAGTAATAAAATACAGTTTTTGTCCAGCATGAGATCATGTGTCTCTATGTCATTTTGAAAATAAAAAGTACACTAAAGAGAAAACAGGCTTGTTTTGCAAAAATCCAACATTACTGAAAACTACACTCCTTATCTTGTGTTGCTTTCCTGGGGAGCTTTATAACTTCAGATTGTTTCTATGGATGGAAAGAGCTGGGAAGAGCAGGCTTCACAGAATCTTCACTTTATTAAAATGAGTGAAATACACAAAGAAAGCCAAATACACTATTTTTCATGAAAACAAAGTTTCTCTGTGATTCTGATCAACTTCCTCCCTTCCATCACTTGCTAAAGAATATTTATTATCTGACCTATTACCTCTGTATCTAGTTGGTATTTCTGCTGGCTTCATCCTTTAGTCTGGACTGGCTTTTTAATGCATTTTCCCCATATATATGTGTCTCCTTGCTCAGCAGATAATAAAAAGCTTCCTTCTGTTCCACCACCTCCACTCAAATCATCCAATCTGCATGCACAACACTGTCCTCTGGCTCTTTCCTTTGCTGGTGAGCAATGATGGAAGAGAATTAAAAAAGCAAAAGCAGAAGGCAGCGAGGTCATAACTCCACAAGAAGCTACCTTTTATTTCCAGGTCAGTGACCAGATTTCTTCTCAGCTTTTATTAGCCAAACTTCATCTCTGTCCCACTACCACACAAGACTACATCAGCAGTCTTACAGCATCTCAAATCAGAGGCACAGCACTCTACCCTCAGCAACAGCCCATTGTGGTTTTCTCATTCCTGTATTATGAATATATTTCCAGCTCTGTTAAGCTTCATCATCCCTCTAGACAGCCACAGCTATCACCAGTTGGTCTTTCCTTCCCACCAACATTTCAGTTCCCTCTTCCCTCCAGAACTCCATCCACTGCCTCTCACTACCTTCTTTGTCACTAATATACACAGGTAGTTCAATACTCTGCTTACCATAAGATTCACACCAGAAAACTACTTTTCCCTTCACACCAATATCATTTTGGTCCACAGGGATTAAGCACCAACATCAAAATAATCCACTTCTTGAGAAAAACGTGAAGACTGTGTGAGGAAAGGTAGACACAAACCTTTCACTAATGAGGCAAGCATGATTAACCCTGCGTTTAAGAGTCAGCTCATTTGTGACATTAGTATGTTTCAAATACTCAGTATCTTCTATGCTTCTGTTTTGAGGTAAAACAAGGCAAGGCATAAAACGGTGCCAATTTTCTGAAGCAAGGCTCAGCTACAGGAAAGCTGCTGTAGATGACTAACCCTCACACTATTTGTTACTCAACTTTCTAGTCCTTGTGATTAAATGCTAGACTCCTTCCAGAACAAGAGCTTTTCATTAGAGGCAGTTTTCAAGAGGCATCAGATTCAGTTGGTAGCTCATATAGGAAAGAGTAACAACAAAAATGAAAACAGGACACTGCACCAGCAGCTATTCAATATCACAACCTATACAATGAAAACACGTAGGAACACATGAGGGTGGGTTTGTTTCAGATCATCAAGTTTACAGAGCTAAAACCAACATATTCCTAAGCCTTACAGGCTAAGGATCTTGACTTATTAAAGAGAAGGCTTGAGATTATCCAAATATATTATATATATATATTAAAAAGTAGAATTTTAAGTTAGCTATTAGTGCTGTTTAGTAGCTTTTTCCCTCTTCAATAAAGACATGAAGGTTTGGCAATATTATGTGGTTAGAATACGTAGCAGGGTGTATCAAGAGGGCCCAGTAGCTGTATTTTACTACTGCTCTTAAAGAATATACCACTGATTGTGATTGTGCAAATAACATAGCTCATTAACGCCATTCATTTTTAAGGGTGATCCATATATCTGACAAATACTGTGACACACATAAGGAGCCCATATGTCCTCAGATATGTAAAGCATCAAAATGGGAATTTCAGTTTCCTTGAGACCAAACCCATAAGAATTCATTTGATAAGACCAGCACTGCAACAAAGGATGCTGTCCTTTAAGAGGACTCAGCAGAATCTGGAGAACATCTACTGATTTTTACTTTTCCTCTCCAGTACCACATTAAATGGTTAAAACCATCAATTTCTACAGCTTTAGGTAGCCTTGAAAGAAGATACAGCAAAAAGAAATTCTCACTGGTAATAATCATCACCCAAGCAAGCGCATCACTTCAACCAACTAAATGCTAATCAGTTCACATGGATGCTGGAAAGGTGTATACTCAACTGGGCTAGCTGACACCGAAGTCCCTGCACAGAGTACTGTTTTCATAAAGCTTAGCAGACTTTTAGAGCTTATACAGAAATTTAGTCTTTAATGGTTTGCTTGAGAATTATGAAACAAACCTCCCTAAAATCCCAATCCAAGGACCTCCTGCCCTCTAACAGAGAAGAACAGCCTCTAGACAACTTACCTCCATGCTCGAGAAAAACCCGGACACATCTCTCTTTCCCTCTTGCTGCAGAGAAATGAAGCAAAGTCCAGCCATTGGCATCTCGACCATTAGGAGAATATCCTTGCTCCAGCATCTTGCGCACGGTGTGAACATCGCCAGCAGCAACTGCAGCCTGAATCTGCAACTCTTCCTGTAGTTCAGGGTTTCTCCGACAGTGATGGTGTAACATCCTAGCTGAATCTGGCTTTTACAGAGGCGTCATGAGGTCATACTAGTCACCTTGGATCAATATAAAGCAGGAATAAATTAGGAAAGAGACCAGGAAAGAGATATCTAGTAAAAAGTCAGTGCTAAGCAGAAAACAACGCTAAGATTTACATTCTATACACAAAGTCAACTTATATATAAAATAAAAACCAAACCACCTCACTGTTGCTAGCAAAATCATAATACATGGTTCACATCACTGGCTGCAAAGGAAAAGGGCACTTATGCATTATAAATAGTAAACGTTTTCTTCAAAAATGACAGCATTAAACAAGAGTCCACAATTAAAGCTCCTGAACAAGGAGTAAAATGAAATATCACCTGAAACCAACATTCAATTAAATATCACAACATGGTTAATAACACTAACTCCAGGGACAATGGATGATCTAAACTGTGGCATGAAACAGCACTGCATTGCCAGAGCAACTGAACTATGGTATTTATTTGTTTCAAGATACATATAATCTCTAAGGTTCAGTGAAAATATTTTCATCTTACTAATATAATCTTTTCCTGTAGCACGAGTATTAGTAACACTAATGTTCAAACTGAAAACTAATTATCCCCCCCCCCCCCCCTTCTCCCTCTTTTTTAATTAGAGTGCACTGTCTGTGTTTTGGCTTGTTGACTTTTTTTAATAGTACATAAAGACTGCAAAGAGCTCCTATATCCTAGAAATCAAACATAAATACGATAATATGAGAGCTGGAAACACGTATATGCAGTTAATATCAGCCTGTCAAACACCGTGAGAACATATACCAGAACAATTCAGTTTATAATTACGTTGATATCATATATGAAAGAGCTGGGCCAACGGGCTATCCAAAATAGCCACTGTAAAAGAGCTTAGATACAAGCATACATTGGGCAAGAAAAAAGTACTATACTCCATGCTCCATTTGAGAAGTCCCCATCTGCAGCTCTACCTGCTACCCAGCTGGGGACAAGTTAAAAAATACAGGTATTTAGGAATTCTTCCACAGTACACAAAGTCTGTTAAGTGTCTACATTTTCACATATCTTATGTATGCTATCCCATTAACAGGTATTCCTAGAATGGAAAGGAGTGTCAGGAAAGAAACAGAGAATAAAGGCAAGGTATGAGAAAAGTAATGCTGAGCAATAAGAACCTCAGAAAATATTCAAATGCTGTTGCAATGGATATTAACAAGGAACTAGAAGATGACAAAGAGAAAGAAAGATGTATTTAAACTCCTGTACAGTTAAACAAGATTAAAGTACAAGGTAAAGTTCCAAAGACAAGAGTGAATTTTGAATGATCTTGTTGTATTAGGATGTCAACCCATATCATCACTTAAACCTTCTTTTACGTAAATATCACAAGGGTTTCCAGAGCCTCCTGATTCATAGGTCATCCATAAGATACTGCAATCACCTCCCCATACCCCACTGGGCACTGGCTCTCCTGCGATGCAGATATACACAGACAAGTGAAAACTGAAAACATCAATCACTGCCATCTTTCCAGATGAAGGCACAGGTATCTATTCACTCTTCTACAGCCTAGTTGTGTCCACTGCAGAGAAGTTATTTATCTGCTTCTTGGAGAGGTATAAACTTGCAATTAACAGGTAGCTACAATGACCCTAAATAGATTGCAAATATGGAAATTACATGCAGCAAATGCTTGTCTTTGACATTTATAAATGCTTCAACTTACCATGTATGGCAACAATCACTAGTTCAGCACAGGGCTATGAAGGAAGAGTTTTTAGCTCGATAGGTTATATGTGGCTTAGGAACTGGCTTTGTTTTGTTTTATACTATAAACTCCATTATCTGACACTGGAACCAAAGGGGATTAACAATCTGGCAACCGCTAACCCAACAGTTCAGCTTTCGCAGCACAGTCCAAAAATCAAACTTGGTTAATCTGATGACAATGGAAGTATTTCTATTAACTCTAATAAGCTTTTGCTAAGCTCTTTTTCTAAACTCCAATTAGCACTTCAGAACATGCTCACCTGTAAGACAGCGAGCTTGACTTCATTCTGCATCACACCACTAACAGTACTGTTAATGGATTTCCAACTACAAGAACAAGGCCTTTCTTTGGACTTAGAGGTGAAAACTGATTGAATCTAACTGGTAATAAGTCAGGGGGAGATCTTTGAAATAACAAAGTAAAAATCAGCATGCCCTTTTACCCTTACTTTCTGAATGTGTACAAAAACAAGACAGGGAAACTGATCAAAAGTTGATATAAACAAACTTTCTACTGCCATTTTTACAGTCCCTTCTGTAAAGCACTAATACTTACAAGATCTCATGTGATCCTGAAAATTAAGGTCAAACCAATTGCTCAGAATGGTACAAGGAAGAGATAGGATGACTAAACAGATGAGGCAAAAAGGGATTTCTCATTGAAGGGGCCAGCAGCATTCCCCCCTGCAACTATCTATGAAGACAGTTGGTTAAGAAAAAGCAAAGCTCTTTATATCACACTTCTCAGCTGGTGGGTATATTTGTAATGCAGTATTATAAAAAGTTGGCACTGGCCCCATATGTTGCATGTGACTAGCAGAGCTTATTCAAATTAGGTAGTACTAAAGGATGTAAGTATTAAAACATACAAAGCAGAAGACAAAGTCAGGCATAAAAGGCAGCTCCTTTTATCACCTGCACAGCTCCTGTAAATATCTACTCTTCTGTCTCACCTCTATGGCAGGCAAAGAAATTTAAATCACAGGCCTACTTAACTGTACCATTCAAGGTTTCAGGATAGCTCTAGGTACACACCAGCTTTGAAAACATTTCCACTTCTGCTCCGTGGATCATTTAAAATTCCTGTTTGCAAATCCTCATTTACAGCATCAGTCTTTGAAGGAAGACTACTGGAAGTCATTAGCCATTTAATATTTAATGTTTTGCAACTGTAATCAATCTCATTCAGAACAAGGTATGCATTTGGATTGCTACATAGTGGTTTTCTCCATGAAAGTAAAAGAATTAAGTCAAGTAGAAGGGGGTAAAAATGTACCTATACATTCCTGGTTATAATGATCGTACAGTGCCAGGAAAATGGAGGACAACAGCAACTACTTCATTGATTTTGCAAGTACAACAGGACAAATTCAACGTGCTCCTGAATTACCTTATATGAGGCTGTTACTCTTTGATGGCTGTCCCGCTCGTCATTGTCTTCACTATTCATAATCTCGTGTGCTCATGTGTGTCAAACAACCTGCTGCCCCTTAAAAGAAATGGTATTTCTTATTAGTCACAAAGAGTAAAAGTGAGAGGTTTTTACTTACTTCTACTTTGTGCCTGTGCTAGAATGTCACATTTTAATGCAGTTATGCCAAAAAAAGCCCTGAAGTGTGTTTCTTTCATCACCAAACAGTCCTTCGGAGGTTGGAGTGGGGAGAGTTTGCTTCTGCCAGATGAGAAAAAAGCTAGAGACCATTTTATGCAAGACAAGAGAAAGGAGAGGTGTGCTTCCTCTCTAGAGTAAACCTTGAGGAAAAGGTCTAAGCTCTTCTACAAGGACTATGTATATCTGCTGCTGCCATGGAACAAAAATGGATGCAAAGGTCACTGTAGGTATTTCTGCCCAACTGCTCAATGCCTCCCTGTGGGAGTCAGATGCCAGGAAAAACCTTCAGAATGCATTTAGTTCCTTCCCAACCCATTTTCGTGGGCTTTTTTCTGTTTGTTTGTGGGAGTTTTGTGGTTTGTTGGCTTTTGTTTTCTTTTTTAAACCTCCATCCATCTGTGCTTCCCTATCTAATGAATGAAATCTGATAGCATAGAGCATTGACTTCCCCATCCTTCAACTGGACTTGTAGTGCCACCGGTTCTGCCTCCCTCACGTAACAGACCAGGCTAACAGACATTCCACAAACAGGTAAAGATACCTTCACAATACAAGCAATACCACCTCAGAGATCATCGCCCTTTTCATATATAAGAACTAGAATCAAACTTTACTCAACACCAGTTACAATCCCTTACCAGTTTCCTCCTCCAGACTAGCCCTCCTTATCCCCCTTCTTCATCATCTGCAGTTAACAGGATCAGCCCCAATGCTTGACCATGTCCCACAGCATTGTCAAGAGCCCATACTCATCAATGTTACTTCAGTAATTCTTTGTACACCTCTGTCTGACCTTTTGGTCACTTTGGCTGCAAGCTTCTCTCAACAGGACCCCTTATCACATGCAAGCACTGCAACAGTATTATAAATAATAAAAGCATTAATTACTTCATTGTATAGCAGGGCACACAAGACCAGCTGTGACTTGTTTTTCCTGCAAATGAACTGCACCAGAACAATTACATGGACTGTGCAGCTTTTAGCTTAACTTCAAATTTCTGTCGCTTAATGCGACATAAAATCTTGCTTCTCCAATGACAGCTCAAAAGAGAAGGATGAAAAAAACAAGCTCTCTTCATCCCTCTTATGCACATTTTCCAAGAGCTTTGCTTCCCAAGATAAAACATACAAGGTCTGCAGATACGCTCACAGCCCTGCACAAAACTGCACTGCCATGACCTAATTTGATCACATTTCTAGCCTTGTTTTTTTGCATAGATGATCAGTCGTTAGTTCACCTTTCCCCCCCCCCCATTTTTGCATGATTTTCACTTTAAAACCCACACATTTTTTATTAGCTAATGCAAATTAGAATTGCACTGACTTCACAGACTACAGACAAGGTAACAGATTGCTCCACTAAAAAAGTAACAAGCTTTTTTCCCCCCCAAAGGAAAATTAGCTGCATATGGCAAGAGTAAGATCTGCAACTTTAATAAAACGAAGTCATATTTAGTTAAAGCTTGCTTACTCGATGACTTAAAGTTTGCTTAAAATACTAATAATTATAGTAGAAGTAGCACACTAAATAAAGAAAATAAGATAAACATCTTCATTACCTATTGATAATGTCTCATGTTGTCAAAGAGACCTTAGACTTTCCTACATCAGTGTGTCACTTCATTAAAGTCATTGCAAACATCATGTGGAAAATTAAGTCTCACAAATGTATATAGTTACTTTAAAGAAAATTCAAGGGTGGTACTAAAAGCAAGACCTTCTAATGCAGTATTTTGTGCACTCTTATGGCCTAACAGATAGATCTGATTCCTAAACCCTAGAATTACACATCTAAGAGCAGAAACAGGACCATAATTAGTACTGATGTTGGCATAACTCTGTACCACAAGGAAAGTGTACCATTACACATGACATTTAATATCCAGCATAGATCTAATCAGTGTAGGTCCTAGCTGTCTGTGGTTAAAGTATTCCAAGACATTTAAATCAAATAAAATTAAAAAAAGGATAATAACATTAGCATTCGTTATTCTCACAACCCACTTCTCCTATCCATTTCAAAACTCAATGTGTTCATACTTAAATGGCATTTTTAAAATGGTCAATATGTGTTTGACAAAACCTAAATGCAACTATCATCTTCATCTGTCACTCAACTTCCTATTTCAGGAGCTCTTCAAAGAAGAAAGTAAGGCAACAACCATTATTTGTGTTCTCATATCACAATCAAAGTTTGCAAATAACATGTGAAATATTAAACTTTCACAGAGCCTTATAATCCTGAATACATTTTCTTCTAGATGTTCTATGCTACATTCCAGACAGATATCAAGTGAGGTAACCCAAGTGGCCAGGATGAAAATCACCAACCAACGCATGCGAACTGCTGGGTCTGAAAAGCAATGAGTTAACAGTGCATGAATCCCCAACCTCACAAAGGAACTGCTACTTCTAAGAAAAGAAGCCTTCACTCTTCATAAGTGGCCATTAAAAGTTACACACTTCTCATCAGAGCTTCTGTAATTCCACCTCGTAGCTTGGACATACTACATTTAAAATAGCTAGTTAATCTACAAATCCTCCATCAACTTCAGGTGTTGGTAGCACTGTATGGTGCTACTTAGTGGTGCTATATACTCACAAGCAGCTGCTGTGTTGTTACTTTCTGCAGGGGCTCAAACTGAAGTACAGAGGTATCATTTTACCAACTATTACCTGTTTCACAGAGGGGTTCTGGGCTCTGACTTTTGGGCCTGATGGAGAAGTAGTGAAATCACCCAGCTCAAATAACTTCAGGTCTGCAAATAGGCATGCACAAGAGACCTCACCTTCAGAAAGCACCAGTACCACATCAACTATTAACTATCCTCAAGATTCCCACTGATACACTAGCAACCTTAACCACAAGCAGAGGCCAGTGAAGAAATACTGCAAATCACCCCAAATCAAGGACCTCATCAATTCTAGTGCTACAGCAAGGCCTTACAAATGTTTTTTCAGTACAGATTGCTGCATCAGTGTCACACAATCACAAGCCTCCCTCAAGACATGCACTGACAAACTGCAGGGAGCTTGTGCTCTGCAGTATGCTTGGAGATCCTCTGGTACCAAGCATCAAATACAATCTCTCTTCTAACTTACAGTGGTGCTAAGTTTTAAACAAGTAAAAGTCAGATGAAAGCTTGGCATTAAAAGTAAATAGTAATGCATAATAAGTGTTAATATATAAGATCTATGTATTTTAACATGACTTGCTAATACTAAAGAATCCACACACCAATATTTCATAGAATGACTGCAGCAGAGAACAATGGCTAGCTCAAACCACATTAAAGCAGTCACTTCAGCCCTAACACTCACAGCATAGCTGAAGAATAAAATGAGTGCCGCTTACAAAGATTGTTTCGCTCAACCACCTCTAGAGAACTTTTATTTTCCCTGTATTTCTTTTTAATACAGCCGAAAAGAATCCAAGTAGACAAAATTCATTGGATGGCTTCAGTGGATAAAGCAAGTTTTTCATTGTGATAGTATCATTCTGTAAGCAAACGCTGGAATAACAGAAAACAGCCTCTCAGACAGCACCCTTCCTTTAAGGATTTAGAATGCACAATAAGGCAAAACAAGCCTAAAATGAACATATAGCCTGAAGAGAGGGAAAAAAAAAGGATGTGCAACTTTATCTAGCAGGGTTAGCTATGCTTGCAATAAGCTGCATTTCTTACAGAACAGGTCTTCAATGTATGGTTTAACTCTATTCCTTGTTCTGACCATGTGCAACTTTCTGACAGAAGCCAATCCCCTGATTCCCATAAACTCAAGTCCAGTCCCTGCATCTGAACCAAACTTTGCTGCACTGCTATTTCATATTAAGAATGAGCTTCACAAATCCAATGAAAACTTACATTTCCCTCCGTGAATAAATCCCAAAGATCTTACGACTTAACAGTATCAAGAGTGTCCTGTTGGAGTAGCTACATTGATGCAAGGCCCAGTATTAGATGGGTTGTAAAGAGGGTGTTAGAATAAACCAACTTTGGATGAACTAATACACGTTTATCTCACCTACTAGCAAAAAATCCCCTCCTGCAATCACACTGGGCATTCCCACATGTTCCACTATGAAGTGTGGTTTCGCAGTATGCTATCAAAATAACATGGAATGTTTCTTTTCTGTACTTTCAAATATCTCAGAATTTGTTACACTTGTATTACACAGGTATTTGCTATTTAAACTTTGACATGTAGCAGCTGCTTTTTATCATATGCTAAAGACACCTGCACAAGAAAACTGATCCACCCTTGACCACGATTGCTGGCAACAGGTACTGCTTTTCCCCCACAACTAATGCTAAAAACTAATTGATTGCTGACAATGAAAAACACTCTGGTACAGTTAATGACATCTCTGAAAACACAACAGAGACCAAAGGGACCTATATAGAGCATATATTTACCAAAATAACAAACTCATCTACATTTGAAACAGATTAGAATGGATTCAAGACAGACTCCTTGTTGACAGAACATGCACAGACTCCATTATTTGGGGCACACAAACAGTAGGATGCATTAAAAGGCTGACTGACATCATTCACCCCCCCACTCTCTCCCCTTGTGAGCCCATCTCTTCATCTCACCACTTAAAGCAAACATTTCTTCCTACAAACTGCTCTCCCCCTGCAAGCGAGCCTTCCTCCTACCAGCAGGATTGTTTTCGATGACTCCTTTCCTTTTTATTCTTAAGTAGCTAACAGCATTATCTTCTCCTGTGATCTCAACCCCAAAAATAAGTCCTTGTAAACAAACACCATCCAATTAAATGGATTTCAATTTTTGCAGCTCCATTACAGTAAAAAAGAGACCCATGCAAACTCAAGTAGAACCAACATAATGCAATTACCATGACCTACTCCAATAAAGATTTTGGAATCAGAGCAGAAGCAAATCCCGTGTTGCACCCATAAATCTGTGAATAGGCCTTAAGAAAAGGCCCTTTTAACCAACAGAGTGAAGTAATTTTAAGTGACATCGTTGAGATGAGGAGACACAAAGACCCGTTAAGTAGCAATTCATAAGCAAAATAATGTTTGCAAATGAAATTTAGAAAATGACAAAGCGTTACAAGAAGAAAAAGGAACCCTACTTCAAAAGAGCTTCGGAGCTTTCAAACTGGTAAAGGTCAATAGCAAGTAGGTTTTATGAGAACAAAGAAATCCGCTACTACCTATTCAAATCCATCAAAACACTACAAGAGGCCCAAACCATGTGTCTAGGATGATTCCAAGAGTCTATAAGAATGATCACCTTTCTGTGGTGTTTTTGAATGCTGGTTCCTCACTTCTGTCTTATTTTGTTCTTTGGAGTCACAGTTTTTAATTCTCCTTTAAGGCAGTTCCAACCTAAAAACGAAAAAATAAAAAGTTGAAGTGAGCCACACAATGACATAAACGTGAGAAATGGAGAAGGAAAATGGTTAATACCAAAACAAGAGTAGGTCATAAAAGGAAGAGCCTTCAAGAAATTAGGAAGGAAAGGTTTATTCCTCTACATCAGGACCTCAACTCGACAGAAGGGCGCTCTCAGGGGTACTAAGGAATTGGAAGGACAATAACTACAGGCCCACTACCCTCTCAAGCCAGCTCCTCTGGGGAACTGGAGTAAAAGATAAGAACTGAAGAATGGGACAGGAAGTAACCCAGAAAGGAGAGCTACTGGGAAATGAAAATCGCTTCCTTGCAGGAGCTCATGCTTCAGGAGCCGTCAAGCGCGCACACACACACACACACACACACACACACAAAAAGCAGATCAAGCCCCGGCGCAGAGTCCAATGGCCCGGCAGCGGGAGGGCCCAGGGGAAGCGGGGGACGCGCTCCGAAGGAGCCCTGGGCTCCCCTCTGCCCTCACCACCAGAGAACCCCGGTCCGCGGGCAGCCCCAGGAGCACGGCGGCAGGCGGCTGGCCCGGAACCTGCCTGCCTTGCCCCCGCGGCCCGGGCGGGCAGAGCGGCGAGGAGCCGGGCACCCCCTCCACAGCGGGGGGCGGCAGACAAGCCCCTCACAGCCCGCCGAGGGGGAGCGGAGAGGAGCAGGCCGGCGGCGAGCCCCGCCGGAGGGGCTGCCTGGGGCGGCGATGGGGAGGCCCGGCGGCGGGCCATGGGGTCGCGCCCCCTTCCTTCCTCCCCCCCTCCCGTGAAGGAGGCAGCGGGCAGACGGGGCTCGCCGCCCGCGGCCGTTACCTGTGTGTCGCCGGGGGGAGCGGGCGGCGCGGCCCCGTGCGCAGCCGCCCCCCGCGCTGGTGGTGCGGCTGCGGGCGGGCGGGGGCAGCGGCGGGGCCGGCCGCGGGCGGGGGCCGAGCCGTTTGGGGACACTTTGCACCGAGCCGCCCCCCGCCGCTCGCACCGGGGTCAGCGGGCAGGGACTGACCTCCGTCGCACCCAATCCGCTGCCGCCGCGCTGGGACCGCCCACAACCGCGCGCCGCCGACATGTCTGATTGGACTCCGGGCTGACGGCGGCTCCGCCTATTGCTCTGCCCCCTTGCCGTAAAGCCGCGGGGGAAGGGGGGGGGAAAGGGTTTTGCGACAGGGGCGTGGAACTGGCTGCGGTGGTTCCGGCGCTTTGGCGGAGGAGAGTTGAGCCTTACGGCGCCCGGTCTGCGGGGGCGGGTGAGTCGCTGTGGTTGCCTAGCAGCGGTTGCTTAGCGACGGGACGGGGAAGGGGGGGCCCGTCGGCGCTGCTGCTCGGGGTGGCTAAGCGGGGCCGAGGGCTTCCAGAGGAAGGGGGGGAAACGGGCGGGGCCTCCGCGGCGGGCGGGCTGAGGGGAGCCGGGGCTGAGGGGAGCCGGGCGGGTTGAAGGAGTTCGAGTCTGTCCTGCGCTGTCGAAGGAGCGCAGGGCCGCGCCGGGTGGAGCGCAGGAGGGGCCTGGAAGCGGTACAGAGAGGCCTCGGGTGACCCTCAGGGCAGGGAGAGGGGCCTTCTGGAGGAGGGTAAAACGGGAGAGGGCCTGCAGGCCGCGGGGCGCTGTGCGCCGGTTTTGGGGCAGTGGTTACACGCATCTGTGCTCTTCCCTCTATTCCTTGTCCGGCTGAAATACCGCTTTTAGTTTTTCCCACTAGTGTCCTGTTGCTGGGGGTTCTGAAGCGCCAGTGATAGGTGCAGCTCCGGTGAGGCCGGACTGGGTCCCTCTAGTCCTGTCTCTTAAGTGGCTAAAGGTGCTCACAGAAGAGCAGGTAAAGCACCTGGCGTGCTTAGGTGTCAGTTAACAGGCAGTGGGCAGCTCGCAGCCTTTGGAAGGAAATGACACTATTTTAGAGGCGTTTACAGTATTTCAACGCTGAGCAAAAGCACATATTGAAAGGTGAGCCTACGAAGTCATTGCAGGTACAAGTAGCCCAAAGTATGTTTATTGCTTAAATGGTTCAATCACATTGTAAGGGAACCCAAAGCCTTCAGACTCCAACCGAAAAGTCATGGGCTGTGGTTTCATTTTTCTTTACCTGATCTAATTTTTTAACGAAAATAGGGTGGGTTTATTGGATAGTTTTTTTTTTCCCAGTTGCTACTCATGCAATTAACATTTAATAGTATATATAACAGGGAAAGAGTAATACAGGGACTTGACAACAGCTTTCTCAATCATGCCTCATTACTAATGTCTCTGAGTAATTATGTGTCATCATAAGCCACCTGTGTTAGTAAAATGTGATATCAACAGTGTTAGTCCATTCAAATCAATGCTTTCTAGGACTTTGTGCTAAATTAAGTACCCCATATAATAGAAATACACATATTTTATAACTTTGATTTAGGATATTCTGGATACATTTGCAACTACTTAAACTTTGCTTGGTCCTTAAACCTTAGAGGCTTCGACTGCCATTTCATTTCAGGACTTTGGTTTTGATTTTAAAGCTTAGCTGAAGTAGTCATGAAAATAATGTATAACAAAATACTTATTTGGGGTTTTATAGTTTTCCTTTCTTTCTTTTCCCTGATCAGTCTATTTATAGGGGGTTTAGGACAGTTTTTTAGTGTTCGTGCAGGAGTCTGGCACTGTGAGGTGTTATGTTAATGGGTGCTTAATGCTGTCGTGAATAATGCAAATAATACAAGTAAAGGTTGGAGTTTAACATTTCTTGTCTATGAATACCATTGCTTTTCTTTACTCTTCAGGTTTGAGCTTTCCTCTGCTTTCTGACTATATTTGAATAAACTTAGTCATTGTCTGACATTTTCCCCCTCTTTGAAGGAAATTTCTTCAAAATAAGCCCCCTCACATTTCATTTCCTTTAGTGACTTCTACTCATGAGCTGTTGTCATGTGTGAGTGAGACGTATCTTATAAATGTCTTCAAAAAGTGCTTGCAAATTAATGGCATCTTATCAATGTATTATGGTAGGATCAGAAAAACCATGACCAATATCATGTGGCCAAGGTAAAATCCCATAGTGGATGTGCTAGAGGAGTTCTAAATCTCTTCTGCCTTAGCAACCTTGCTGTGTCATATGAATTTGTGCATGGGGGATCAGTTCATTTACCACGTAGGGTAATAATTCAAGTTGATCTTGAACGCAGAAGTAAATGTATCAAGATAATTTTACTTTATTAGGTATTCATTTAAGGAGAAATAAAACTCAAAGATAGGAACAATAGCCACGTAAAAAAATCAGTGATTTCTGAAGAAATTTTATGGGGTTTCAGGTCATAAATTTCCACCTCATGCGGAATTCCAAATAGATTCTGCAAGCAAAGAAGGCATTTATTGTATGAAGTATCAGATTTATTCTTAACATCTAAAATGTGGAGTATGGGAAAGGATGGGGGAAGGGTTCTTATTTCTGCTGGGTGAGAATCATACTCCAACATTTTGGAGTTGTCTGGTCAATCACTGCTCAATGTGTCTTTAGAAATCCCACAGCAGAGTGAATTGTAGATCACTCCCTGCGGGCAGCTTCTTATTCTCTAACTTTAGATTCTCTTCTGCAGGAAATACTTCTGATGGTGGAAGAAGTGAGGAGTCTGTGTACCTTATCCTGGTCTACCCCTAATTCATTGTACCTTGGGGAAGCCATTTTGCCAGTGCATGCTCCAGTTGCACTTAAAAAAATCCAGTTGTAAAAATAAAGGTGTAATTCTCAGTATTTGATAGTGCTTTAAAAACTTGTGAAGAGTATAAACCAAAAAAGCACCTCGTATACTGAATTTTAGAGTTTCATTGTTTACTAATATTCTGCTAAACCCCAATAATAGTTTGAAACATTTGGTGTGATGATAGATGTGGGTGTAATTGATACATTGGTGGGAAGATCTTTAGAATTTCTCTGGAAGAGCTGTTTTCTTCCATTGAAAAGAAAGGGAAAATGTAACATTTAAGTAAAACCCAACTACAGAAAGACGGTTTCAGGAGTCTACCTGGCTGATTATGCCAGACTGAAAGATGGGGATCCTAAAAGCATGTTGTTTTTAAACAGTGAATTTGTAGTTTCAAAATACGTTTAATAATGGTACTGTGAACTCCAAAAATGTATGGTGTTCTTTTGTATCTTTCTATTTATCAGTTCAGTAATAGCAAAATATTCCTTTCTAGGTAACTTAAAAGAGAAATGCCTGATAGTGCTTCTGTTTCTCATATTGGATAAAAATAACCTTGAAGCTGATTTGCAGTGATGATGAATAACCAGTGAAGACATACAGCATTTTCTGAAATATTGAATGTTCTCATCATGAAGATCTCTCTTCTGCAGCAGATGTATAAAGATGTGCTGGTCGGCATTCCACTGACAAAGGAAAGCCACCATTATGCCTCTCTACTTAATCTGTGTGTTGAACAGTCAGCAGAAGGAGATGAATCATGTCATCGAATGCATCTGTCATCTACTAATGGTGGTACTGGGAGCCACCAGGACACTGAGATGCCAGGTGTGGTTGTCACTACGACGGATGATGTATCAAATAGCTTTGCAAACTTGAGCTCTTCATTTTGTCCACGAGAAATGATGCTGCTTCAGTTAACCTTGATCAAGATTATGGCTGCTAAAGCAGAGTCCCAGGAAACAGAGTTCAGTATGAGACAGAAGTACTGTGAGATCTTTGTCCTTCTTCTGAAGGAGGCAAAAATTGACTCAAAATTGGTAAGCTTTAATAAACTTCTGAAAGATTCCTGTGAAAGGAGGTAAAAACCAAAAAGGGACATGGCTTAGATACTTTCTTCTATGTGTTTGCAGGTTTTTCTGCTCGGTAGTTGTGATCAGCTGTTATCTCACATGGCTTCAAGAAGTTTAGCTTCTCTTGTGTATTTCCAGCTGAAAGAAGAGGTGAGTGTGGCATAACTTTTCACAGCTTAAAAAATGACTTAGTGGATATGTGCCTTCAAGTTATTCCATTTGACTCTAGAGCCAAATTTGGCACAAAAGCAGTAGCTGTGTGATTACTGTGAAATCTGAAAGTTATTCTAAAGAGGCTCCTTTTGTGAGCAGATCTACAGAGCAACACCAAAACTGCTTCTTTCCTCCATTTATTGCCTGCATGTCTGCTCTAACTTTGAGAGGCACACCTGCAGTCTGATGGATTCTTAGTCCCTTAAACTGCCCCACAGTTTTGTTGAAATGTGTTTCACTCCGGTATCAGGAGCAATGTGAAGGTCATAGTTTGCCCACAAAGTGCGTCGTTAGGGGCTTTGGTTTGTAAGTGGTGGATAGGAAAGAGATGGAGTAAATATTCCAAGAGACTATTTCTCTCTTGGAATATTCTCTTTAAAGTTGCAATACAGGTATTTAAAAAAAAAAACACAACAGTAATCTAGACTATCAATGTCTTTTACAGTTACTTGATATCTGTTCGGTGATACAGTAGATAAAAATAGATAATAGCCTATTGAACATTAATCAGAGATTTTCCTGTATTTTCATGTTTGACTATTCCAGTTACATTAGGGTTTTTTTCCACTTACTGTGTATTTGTTAAATATATATTGTAGCTTCTGTAGTAGCGTCTCAGAACGTATTTCTCTCAGAAATATGTGGTATTTCTTGCA